GGACACTCTTGTAGGACAGTCTTCTGGAACACTCTTGTGGGACACTCCTGCGGGACACTCTTGTAGGACACTCTTGTGGGACACTCTTGTGGGACACTCTTGTAGGACACTCTTGTGGGACACTCTTGTGGGACACTCTTGTGGGACATTCTTGTGGGACTCTCTTGTGGGACACTCTTGTAGGAAACTCTTATGGGACACTCTTGTAGGACACTCTTGTGGGACACTCTTATAGGACACTCTTGTGGGACACTCTTGTGGCACACTAGAAGCAGTCCTGCGAGCGTTTCGTACGAGACGTCCTCCAAAAGTCACGCTTCGAGGCTGCACAAGACGAGCGTTCGCGCGAGACTTTCTCCAAAAGTCACGCGTCAAGTCTCCAAAACGAGCGCTTCGTCCGAGACTTCCTCCAAAAGTCACACGTCAAGTTTCCAAAACGAGCGTTTCGTACGAGACTTCCTCCAAAAGTCACGTGTCAAGTCTCCAAAACGAGCGTTTCGTACGAGCCTTCCTCCAAAACTCACATGTCAAAGTCTGCAAAACGAGGATTTCGTACGAGCCTTCCTCCAAAAGTCAAGCGGAAACACCCATCGGAGCACACACATCACGCAGCCCTGCCAAGCAGTTTCGCGAGTCCAGCCCCTCCAAACAATACCCCCTCACACGCCAATCCCAATGTGACAGCGACATTCACCTCTACCACAACTCACGACCTCACGATTCCCTGCGCCTGCCACGAATCTTTCCGCATCCACACGTCTAACGCGCGCAAAGTACTGCGCCTGCCACGAAATGTCACCTCCGTCACACCTCGCAACCTCACGATTTCCTGCGCCTGCCACGAAAATCGCACTTCCACACCTCAAAATCAGCACAAAGTACTGTGCCTGCCACGAAAAGTGAGAATATCATCTCACGTGAGCTTCAACAAAATTTGCACCACACCACACGTTTAGAATGATTTCGACCCGTTCTGAGCACACTCCCATCCACCAAAATCGCCATTTCAGCTGAGACTTGTCACGAAAACAGAGCTTCGATGCCACACCCTGAAACGCAAATCCCAATGGCACGGCCACATCCAACACCCCAAAAACACGACTCTCCAAACGCTAATCCCAATGGAACTGCGCAGTAAACTGCGGATCTCTCAAACCACTGCGCCTGTGCAGCGAAATGCATCACGCTTCTTGCGCGACATGTCATTTTCATGCAAATCACAATGGAATAGCGTCGCAAACTGACACGTGAATGTGAAAAGTCACTTGCAAAAGCTTCCCCCAATGGCAGCGCCTTAGCGTCCTACTGCGAACGGTTGCGAACGGTTGCGGACGGTTGCGGACGGTTGCGAACATAGAAGCAACGGGTCGCGAACAAGGCTCTACCCCCAGACCCCCAAGAGTTAAACGAGAACCCTTCGCTACGCATTCGGGAAAACACGACACCGCGGTGGTTTTTACTATTTGGGGGGGGTTGGAGGCGTCGCGTGTGAGTGTGAGTGTGTGTGTTTTTCAATAGGTGGAAGGGATTCGTGGAAGCGGCTTTACCCCCGCCAGGCATGACACTGGTCAACACTGGCATGATACCAGGTGCATCCCTTCTACCTGGGTCCGACCTATGACCTATTTATTGTTTTGTTCACCTGCCTCAGAAATTATACCTTGGATTACCTTGGTGGTATCGTTCGGTTTGCCTTGAGTCGTGCTTTCATTTCTTTGATTCGAATCTAACATAGCGGACAGGGAGTTGCACGAGCGCTCAGAGTTCAAGGCGGGATGGGGACAGCTGTGATAGGGTCGTGGATGGCTGCTTTGTTGTGTGATGCGAACGATGATTTGACTGCAGGTGCTGCAGATGAAACAATAGGACGTCAACATGTATCAGAGGTGAACAGTTCAACATTTCAAGCGTAGTTATTTTATGTTATTTGTAATTATTTGATAGGTCACTTTGGTTTTGGAAAATCACATTTGAACGGGTCCGGGTCAAAAAATGTATATTGTTCCACAAGTACGAGATGATTCAGTCATCACACTGTCACACGACTAGCTGCATACAAGAACGATTTTGCAATGCTGGTGAGGAAGAACGACCAGGAACACTTGATCGTTTTTCATCATAGGTACACCTCATAGTATAGCTTTTTGGCCCTGGTGTTTCACATGGTTTCACTGGTCCAATCACTGGTGGATATGTTTTATCCCTGAGGATTGGCTTTTTTGGCTCGGCAAATCCCGTCGCCGGGGACCGACACCAAACAAACAGCGGGAATCCTCGGTCGAAAGGGGAGGAATCCGTTTTTTACCGCCGTAGACCAACGGTTGGATAAAGTCGAGTTCCGCAACTGCGCAGGATTCCGCAACTAGGATTCCGCAACTGTTTGGTCGGATTCCGCAACTGGGATTCCGCAACTGGGATTCCGAACTAGGATTCCGCAACTAGGATTCCGCAACTAGAAATCCGCAACTAGGATTCCGCAACTAGGATTCCGAAACTAGGATTCCGCAACTGTCAAGATTCCACAACTAGGATTCTGCAACTGGGATTCCGCAACTGGCGTTCCGCAACTAGGATTCCGCAACATTGTGGACTCCCTCACTAGGATTCCGCAACTTTGTGAATGATGAGGGATGTCGAGATCACACGATGGGGACAAGGGGGGGTTGGGGGTGGGGGGGTTGGGTGGGGGGCTAATGACGTTGGTTTGGATGTGCTTCGAAGGTGATGTCACAGGCACACACGCTATCGCATGATGTGGAGATCACCCCAGTTGCAAGTTTCAGAAGGCAAGTTGCAGAATCTGACTTTCCAGTTTCAGAATACCAGTTGCAGAATCTGACTTTCCAGTTTCAGAATACCAGTTGCAGAATCCTTTCCAGTTTCAGAATACAAGTTTCAGAATCCCAGTTTCAGAATCCTAGTTTCAGAACCCCAGTTTCAGAATCCTAGTTTCAGAACACCAGTTTCAGAATACCAGTTTCAGAATCCAAGTTTCAGAACCCAAGTTTCAGAACCCCAGTTTCAGAACCCTAGTTTCAGAATCCGACCGATTAGTTTCCGAATCCGGCTCTAACCCCAACGGTTCAAGTTGCTGGATCTGAAGTTGTAGAATCCGTTGGGGGTCATTGTCCCCATGATCAAGTTGTGGCATGATCAAGTTTCGTGAGGGTGGGTCAGTTTTGGATGACCTGAGCTGTTGCCATGATCAGTGATATGAACCATGCGCTTGAACTATTTTACTCCGGTGTAATCTCATAGCGACCGGCTGGCTCATCAAAAACACTAGAGAATTCTAATCGCCACACTGCAACCAAAATCTATGATAGGAATGGAAAGAGCACCCTTGGAATGGATGTTACGTTGTATATGTTGGGATGTTGTTCCATATTGTTCGTGAACTCATGTCAAGTGATTACTCGGTTTCTTTGGGAAGGCTGAAGAGCATATGTGCAGAGGGCCCCGGGATGTTTGGCCCGACTTAAGAAATTCCATGCTCAAACGGAAGCAGAAAGACTGGACGACTCTGAAGCAGAAAGACAGAAAGACCCCTTTACAACATGGAAAACCCCAGCCCAAGCAGAGATTCAACCGGTATATTCTGAACACTTTTGTTTGGCTTCCCAACCTCCTGTCGATCCTGGGTCGATCCACTGAACTCGCGGCTCTTGCTTTCCTTTTGGGTCAAGTCTCAGATCGCTTGCTAAGTTGTATGTTTCATGCTTGAATCCACAAAGTGACACACCTCCTCATGATGTTAACATCCGTTAACCATCATGTCAGTGTGCAGTTCACGCAGTTACATGACCACACTCGGGAACAGGCGGGGCACCCAAAGCTCTGAGCCCGAAGGATCTACCGAGGCTTTATGCTGGACACATAGCATCACATCATATAGCATTTGAGACAAATGAGCCACAACATAGTAACATGATGTAACATGATGTAACATGGTAGCATTGTAGTTAACAACAGACTTGACATCGCTGGCCTTGGAACTCCACAAGCCGTTCATCCACGTCTTCCGGCCTCTCAATCGTCCTTTCCGTCCGTCCTTTCCCTCGGTCCAGCGACCCGAACCCGACCCGACCCGAACGCCCAGCAAGCGAGGAACGGAGCATGGACAGCATAGACTTCCTACATATTTGACCCGTTTGTACATATTTGGGGCATTGCTGTCATGTCCAACTGGTCTGAGAAAGAAAGTGGCCCGCCGCGATCTTCACCCTTCACGACGGGACGGCTCTACAGTGTTGTCATGGTGTCAAAGCCATGAACCCCAAGAAAGCCAACCTTACTAACGTCTAAAGGCCTGAGACCTTTGACCATTTGGGGGGGGTTCCACGACTGGCCTGCAGTTCAGCGCCCAGCATGGCTGGCGATGGAGGATTCGGCCCGGTGTGGGGGTCGATGTGGCATCCTCCTGCTGCTCGGTCCACCCAATAGATCCCAATAGATTGAAACAGTGAATTTCCTTCTAAAAGCTAGTGGACATCATGCGTATTCCGTATTTCTATACTATTTGGGGACCTCTAAGGACTCTTCCAAGTTCATTGAGTGAAACTTTACTCTTCACTCAGGAGGCTGGCTGGGTTGCGTGCTTGCTTGCTTTCTTGCTTATCAAGACGATGTCATCGAAAGGTGGTGATGGAATCATAAATTCATGAGTTACAAAGATTCCAGGGTCTATATAAACGTGTCCTTTCTTGTTTGATAATAGGGTGGGTATGCGAGCTGATCTCAGACATCCAAAAGAATTGTGAAGCCCTTTTGAAGTCACCTCTGCCTCAGGTTAGTGGCATTGACCCTGGTGATCGGTTCCCTCTACAGCGATCGGTGCCTTGGCCAGAGAAGACTTTTCAGAGTTTGCTGCGAAAAACATAACAGAACAGCATTGTGCAGGAGTGGTGTGTTTGTCCCGCAATGATAGTTGCTTGTAGTTTCATGGTGGAAACCCCACCAATGAAGAGTGAAGGATGTCGCACACTCCAGTGCAGTGGTGTTTCCTGCCACTTTTGGGACGGTAGACGGCGTTCGGGAATCTTGAAGACTTGAAGGGAACATGTGTTGTTTTCGAGGATTTGCACAAGGCATCCAAATCCCAGCAAGCTGCAATCTGCTCTCTTAAGCATTCACAGTTCCTTTAGAGGAATGTATATAATATATATAAATCTATATGTCATACTCTTGCTCCTACCTGAGGTTCCATGGGCACACATTCTTTGCTGATTTATCTAATACCCCATGGTACCTTCGTTGGAGCGCAGCAAGTCGGCCAAACGCAAACCCCATTAGTTTTGCCTTTGAAGTCCCGGAAGATTCCTTTTTTGGGTCAAGAACTTATCCTAAGGATCCTAAAGGTTTGTTTGGGCTCCACATGTCGGAACATGCTGCAAGCGTCCCACAGGAGCTCAACCACAGGCTTGCACGGCCATCCGTGATCTCCACCCCCAACCAGCCAGAACACTGAACACGAAGAACAAAACACACAGAAGATGCCATCCACGGCCCATGTCCACAAGACCCATGTTGGCGGAGCCCATTTTTTGTTTGGAACGAGGTCAGTGGGATTTCCCGCCGAGCCAAGTGGATCCGATCCATGAATCCTAAAATCGGTGGAGCCTTTGGTCCGCTGTGGACCCATCACTCTTTTCCGCCGAAGAAAGGGGGCCGGAAACTGAGGCTGTTTGGGCGAAATTGGAATCGTTTCTGGGCCGAAAGAGCGTCAGGAAAGAGACCCGAAAGAGCGTCGAAATTCTGGCGTCGGGGTGTGTGTTCAGTTCCCTTTTTGGAGCGACTATGGAGTGTTGGGGTATTGTTCAGTGATAGACATCCTGAAGCATTCCATTCCATGTTTGTTGTTTACAATTTGTTTACTACATTTGACTACAATTGGCTATATATGGTTTAAAATGTATTCACCTGTATTATATTATGTTTGATATTCTTCCAGGAAGTTTGTCCGCACCATGGAGACACGCCATCGAAGTCAGACGACAAAGGAGTGGGTGTCAAATCGCCACGTATATGGGAAGTGCAATGCATCATCTTGATTGCATAATTTTTGCAAGTCCCTATATGGCCGCCTATGGACTATCTCAGACATCTGTGGAGCGTCAGGTCCTTCGATCCGTTTTTGACACAATATAGGGTTCATAGTTGGGGCAAGAGATGGCCGCCCTGTATTGAACACCTGTAAGTACCAGCGGCTTTCCGGAGTGTTTGTGATGGTTCGCTTGGGGATACTTTGACACGCAGAAACTGATCGAAATATATTCCAAGTATTCCAGTGAAAAGCCGTGAAAAGCCAATGCTTGACAAACTACACATTTTGTGTAGGAGATTTGAACCAAGAGCTACTTGTCGCAGAACCAAAGGGGCAGATAGAGGAAAGTGGGCCTTTTCGTGCACGTCCCACAGCAATCCTCCAGAGGTGCTGTTGAAGTCCTGGGCACATTCATGGACAGGAGAAACCTGTGCAGCCAAGTAGCTGCACCCCTGCACCAGGTGTTCGATGAGCGAAGGCTTGCTCAAAACACATGTCAAGCATGTCATGTGCTGCCAGTTGCAGGGCCTCAAACTACACGGTGCATCCTGCTTTCGTCCTGAGGCCCCCTAGGGATGGTGCTGAAGGATATGGGGACACTTATGGGGACATCACTGAAGGGTTCCTTGCATCCAACATCAAATCGGAAAGGCCGACACACACACACACACACTCTATGAATCATGGAAGTGGAGTTCACCGCTATTGTATTGTACAGGAAAATGGT